TTTTGCATTCTCACCAGAGACAGGACGTGAGGATCTTAAATACAATAAGGACCTGTTTATCTATGTTTCCCCCTTATCTAACCTAGGGAGGAAATTCATTTCCAAACCCTCCTTCCTTTCCCTACATCTCAGCACAAAGAATGGAACAAAGCCTCTAAACAATCACCCCCATTCAGGAAGAAAGAAATGGCACACTTTAATATTTAACCCTACTAACATCCAAGGAAAAAAACACAAACCACACAATGAATGAAAAAACTAGAGCTAAGACTAAGGACTGCTGAAGAGAAGATACCTGAAAAACAACACCAAACATGAACAGTAAGATGAAGAAATAATTTAAAAAACAATAGTAAAAACAGAATAACATTAAACCAAGCCTAAGTGAAAACCCAAAGTTAAACAGAACCAAAAATCCCGAAATGGCTGATCATAACAATTTCATATTCAAATCTTTCTAACCTTTTTCTCTCACATGTTTATTTTTACAGTTCTGCTTCACATTGATGTCACTTGGAGGTTCACTTAGTGAACCAAAGTGAGTTCCTGTGAATTCACCGAATGCACAGGAACTGACAGCTAGTCCCACATTTCCGTTAAACACCTTCAGAGAATAAAGGAAGCTCTAAATCCTGCTTATTTCTTCTTCTCCTCAGCTTGTGACGGGAACCACTGGGGTCCCCACTGCAGCAGCAGATGTCAGTGTAAGAATGGAGCTCAGTGTAACCCTATAACTGGAGCCTGTATCTGCAGTCCTGGATACAGCGGCTGGCGCTGTGAGGCTCAGTGTGAAACCGGCTTCTATGGTCATGGATGTCAGCAGATCTGCCAATGCCAGAATAAAGCTCTCTGCCACCATGTGACTGGAGAATGCACGTGTCCGCCAGGATACACTGGAGCTTTGTAAGTTAACCAGGATTTTATACACAGTACATAGATTAAGGGCTAATTGTTTACTTTTCAAAAGTTCTTTATGGAAATTCTAGAACACCTATTTTCACATATGAAACATTTGCACCATGATTTTGCATCAGTAGAATCAATTTAATGGATTACATCACCTAATGCAGCAAAGTAAGCAGCAGTGACAGGATGAAACCTCTGGATCGCCTGACTTTTATTTATCTGAGTGTAGAGAGGATCTAATGGTAAAGTGTAAGCGCCTGAACTTACATGAGAATTTCTATCCTGTATCACTTAATACTACTAGTAGTA